CCCCAAAACCCCAAAACCCCAAAACCCCAAAACCCCTAAAATTCAAGCCAAAGTTGAACGATGATATAATTATATAATTCAAGAAATATGCTAGAAAATAATGAGGAAGAAAACTATAGGACCAATATGGCCTACTCTTTTGATAACAGAGTCGGCACCATCCAGCAGATGCAGCCTCCTTCGAGACATGAGAGGAAGAGCCGCAGCTTGATTAGACTTATCAAGTGTAAGAAAGAACCTATCTTTGAGGAGTACGAATCACAGAATTTCATACATAAGAACTTTTCGAAGAGAAAAAGACAGTCTGAAAGTCTGCACACTAGTCCTGAAAGAGGCATTGTCTTTAGTAAACCAGGTTCTAGGATCAATCTCAGTGCAATGAATAGTGACAAAATAATCAACTTCCCTATGATTAAGTTTACTGCAGTTCGGCACGGTGAGTTGAAACCTTTAGAGAAGAGAGAGCAAAGATTCCAGGTTCATCATAAAAGAGGATTTACATCTGGAAATCCTCTTCCTAGTACAACAGAATGAAGCACTTATGAGAAGAAGTTTAAACATCCTCGGATTTGCTTCAGCAACAGGAGACCTGATAAGAAGCTGAAGGCTTTTTGATTAACACAGAAGAAATCCGAAAGTAGTAAGGTAAGAAGAATATCTGAGATTATGGGCATCTTTAATTGCAATTTCTCGCTTAGCTAAATGGTAGAGACAGGCTTTTAATTACAATTGAGTATTTTCTTAGAAGAATAAATTTGAAAACGGTCAATGTATAAACTTAGCTGTTACCACATTTTAGGCCAGTATCCAGCATGTAACTGTATTAATTATATGAATCCCTGCAATTTTCTACCCTATTTAGATTCCTAAACCAGCTAACATTCTTCTCTAGATTTCGCTTATAAAAATGGATAACAAAAACATTGCACTAAAGAAAAAGTTGGCCGAAGAAACTCTATTCAGGGACTCAATCAGAGACAAATTTGCTCCAATAAGACATCCCAAGGTCAAGCTCATCCCTATTATCAAAAATTTCGGAAATGTAAGCCATCTCTCCAGCCTCACACCACTGAGCCTGTTTTGCCAAAATTCGAGGCTCAGTTTTAACCAAATTCTCCTTAAAATTTCATAACTACAAGAGCTAGCTTTCTTTCCTGAATTTCTGTTTATATTCTGGCCTATCTTTCCCACTGATCACAACTCTAAACATCCTAAGAGTAGTTTAAGCAAGGATTCTTGCTTAATTATCAATAATTACGCAGCGATAGGACCAACCGTTTAGGCCTTAGTATAGCCTCTGGGATACAGTATGAGAAATATTTTTGTAAAGACTGCAATGCCTATTGTATCTCTGTATTAGGGAAAGTGGCAGAAGTAAAGTATAAAGCAATGAAGAGGTAGAACAACATCAATTCTTACCCTTCACTCTTTTATACTTAATTTCTCACTTCTCACTTTAGTAGACAGACTCCCATTCTTTCAAAATTTCTTGTCCAGTCGTTCTTAATACCTTATATAGATTCCTGCCCAAATGAACATGTTCAAGAAGGAAACATTGAGTGAAGCCACTACACTGGCCAAATATTGAAACTTAAAGTTGAGCTAATAAGGGAAAGGAAGGGGTTTTGGGGTTTTGGGGTTTTGGGGTTTTGGGGTTCTGATCTGTGCCCACTTTCCTAGATGCCGTTCCTTGTCTTGAGTAGTCTTATCACTTCCCTTAGACAGTCTCTGGTATGGTGAATGACAAGAGCTGATGTCGAGTTTGAAGTGGTGAAGAAAATATGTTTATTTGGTGGAGATTTACAGATATTTTCTAAATTTTTGAACATTTGTTGTGAGTCAGTTGACTTTCTCTGTAAAATAGGCAAGTTGCATTAAATTCTGAGCTCTTTGCTTCAAATATTGGATGGCTTGAAAGAATATTGCATTCTTTCCTTCATTCCATTGACTTCCTTATCTTATCATTGGCTTTCTTATCTTATTATTATCTTCAAGCCTCTGAGAATCCTTTTTATCTAAAAATTTCAATTTATCTACTCTCCATTTCATGATTCGTGTGTAAAGTGTATTAAATACACTAGATAATTAGATTATGGCTTCCGAAAGATCAATGTATCTTGGCCACAAATAAAATGAACCACTATAAACCAATGGTTGCTTAATAACTAAATTCACCAGCTCCGGAGGATAAATTTTTATCTAATAGAAGTTCCTTCTCAAGGAATTATCTGGACTCGATTATCGGCTTCTAAGAAGAGAAGGACCAAGAGATTATCCTAGTATCATCAGGTTCACTTCCAAAAAGATAAGATTAAAGTATTATAGTCAGCATTGCTGGGTATATTCGGAGTTGAAGTTACAACATGAAATGTCCCTTTAACTTCTGAATGCCAGAGCAAAAGTTCTAAATTTGGAGTAATAAATGTTATTTTCTAAAATGATTTAAACAGTAAATCTCTGATGATATTTCACCATAATATGAGCATTTTACTAGTGCTGTGCAGTTAATCGGTAATAGAAGTCAGCTATTTTTAGGTTTCCATAAGCTTGGAGCATTTTTAAGCAACAATATGTGAGAGGTGTTGATGATAGTACCAATAAAATATCACTAGAATGAATGTAAGTTAGGTTATTCTATTACTCCCCTTTGATATTTTAGGTTAAACTTTGTTATAGTCACTCAAGTGCTTAATCTTTGTGTGTAATACATTTTCCTAAGGAAATAAGAATGAACTGTTTTGTTAAATAGAACCTAAGAAATTTTCATAATAATATAAAATTTTACCAAAATATAGTAAACAAGGTGAATTTCTAGATGTTGATCATGAAGAAGAGACAACTCTATAATAATCTTTATAATAAAATAATATTGATAGAAAAAGACCAGTTAAGGGTGAGAAAGCTCTAGTTTTCCGTATTTTAGTTTTGTCTGCAACAAAAGGGTAGTAATTAGCCGAGCCTATGCCAGACTCAGACAAAATAACTCTGCATTCTTCCAAACCATCCAATATTTGAATCAAAGCGCTCAGAATCCAATACAAACCACCTAATTTACCCAAAAATTCAACTTCCACACACCAAATGGGGTTTTGGGGTTTTGGGGTTTTGGGGTTTTGGGGTTTTGGGG